AGATGCACTGTGTGTATATTATATTATATATACAATGCACTGCAGCCCGTACAAAAGTATGAAAAGTACCCACGATATGCTGTTTTAGAGACGAAACAACAAATTAATTGTATGTACCACGTACTACTGGTAATAGAATTAGTAATATAGTAGTCGCCGTAGCTTTACTATCTATAAATTTAAAAAAAATCGATAAATATTAAACGCTACGAATAAATAAAGCAAATGTTAAATGACAAACAACACTAATCACTATTATACAGGCATTGCCGTCGTGCATTCCCATAACAACAATGATGTTTTCACAGAAAATAAGGCGACTACCGTTTCAGTTGCCATCTAAGTGTCGCAGAGTGCACGGTACAGTCGGTACACCAATCTATATATATCTACCTAATCTATATCTAGTATCTACCTAGACATACACAATAAAACTATTTGAACTGAGTATGTGCAAGACTTAGAGTTAGCCATATAGGATAAGGAGATGGTACACAGCAGTTGACGTGACTCAAAATAAGAGAACGGATTGAAAACGCTAATAATTATAAAAAGTGGTAGCACCTCCTCACACTTCAACCACAGGAAGTATGAAGAATACCGATCTAAACCTGTAACTTAGTACCAATAGATGTTGTCTGTAAATGATTTTCTAGTAGCAGAATATTGTTAAATATTGTTAATAGTAGTCGTGTGTCGTTTAATCTATATACATAAAAATGAATGTCTGTCTGTCTTTCTGTAAGTCTCTCATGAGTTATGACAATCTTAATGGCTGAACCAGTTTTGATTACATTTTTGCATGTGTTTGAGTTGTTCTCTGGATGATTTAGATTCACAATTAGACCTGAAGGGTTGCTCAAACGAGGATTTTGAGTTTTAAGAAGGACATTTTTGTTTGTAAATGGTTGGTATTGAGCATAGGAGAAATAAAAATATGTTATATTAATATGTCGGCAATTAAAAAAAAAACATATTATTTATGTAGAGTACGCGCCCAGCGTACCTGTCAATAATATAATATTCGCATTATCACAAACTAGTCTCATATAGAGGTGGCATTTTTAACGGGAAACGAAGTGCACGGGATCAGTTAGTTATCTATAAATTTAAAAAATGTTTAAACGATACATATTAAGCACCACCACACATAAATGAAAAAAAAATTTTAATTACATAAAAATTACAACTGCATGTGTTAAGTGTACTTAACTAAAATCATTTATTCACAAAGAGGCGAATGTCACAGTCATCGCCGTTTGTGTTATAACTGTAGCAATGTACACGCTGGTACACCCATCCATAAACAAACTCCAAAAATAATCTTAACTGCGCATGTGCAAGACTTATATTAAGCCGGCAGAATGACATGTACAGTGTACACGGTTATACAGTGGTCAAAGTGGCTCAAACAAATGGAAAGATGTGGACAATGTGAATTATAAAAATGGGTAGGAAGCCACCCCATCACCATACTTTTATCGAGACTGCTGTTAGAGGCAACTGAAAAAAATTTATCTAAACCTATATCGTAGTGTCAGTGGACGATGTCTAAAAACGATTTACCCAGAATCGTAAATTATGGCAATGATAAGCCATGTCAAACTATTATCTTTTTCAATAAATATTATTTGATCACTGTAATTTATAGGTAAACTAAGCGTTTCATAAAATTTGTATAACCAGTGCACACGTTTGTAGTAGTATTATTATAGTATCTAATTACTAATTAGATAATAATAGGTAGGGGTATTAGAGTCGTAATAATAGCATTAATAAACTCTCACGAAAATTAGTTGCACCTATAATAAGTCGCATAATTATTAATTAATGTACTGTTTATCTATGACGTGTACTATGATAATATATTATACATTATTATTGTAATAAAATTTCGTGATGTTGTGTTACCTACACGGAAAACTCGATTCAATTTATGTTTTGAGTATTAAAGTTTTGAGGGAAAAAAATTATTTTAGTTCATATATTAGGTAAGTATATAAGATCCGCCATTGGTGGATTTATAGTGTTTTTTTTTTCATTCCAAAAGCATTATAATATTATAAACGGCAAAAAAATAGCTTAAAAATGGCTTGAAAATTAAAACTAAAAAAATCCTCGCCAAAGTATTCAGATAAAACCCTATAAACGGTTTAATGGATAATGTGTTCATTACACTGTGCACTGAGACTTTTAAGTTTTGGGTGTGCAAATCCCGTTTTTTTACGCGTGAGATAGACAGACTGAACTGGAACTTTCAGATTATAATTATTGAAGTAAACAAATTTAAAGCATTATTTTAATTTAATACTTATATTAAACTTTTGTATTGTTTGCGTTTTTAATTTTTTTTTTTAATCCAAATTCCTTGCACTATTTTGATGATTTACTAATTGCTATTGTTTTCATCATGTGATGATACCATGCTACTATAAAATTATATTCTCTCAAAAGCCTCTGTCACATGTATTAATTGGTAAATTACAACTATAACTCCATTTGAATTAATTACTTACTTATAATTTATAGATGCAAACATTAATTATTGCATTGGCTTAAATGTTTCTGATAATATTTGTAAGTAGATATACATAAATTTGTTTATGGAAACCTATATTATTTATCGCACGGCTTGATGACATTTATTACTTTAATTTAATTAGCGTCGTTTTTTTTTTTTTTTTCAGTTTACAATTTAAAAATTAATTTTGTTTCTTGGAATTTACTGCCGGGTAAACCTGCTAAATCGTCAGTTGAATACTTTTTTTTTGTTAATTTTTAATTTGATACATTTTTGTTGTTGTTAATTATTGTAGTTCACTTTCACTTAATGACTCGTCGGTCAACCGTTTTGTTAAGCCAATATTAAAGAGAATGTTACACGACAAGTCTGTTATGACAGTTTTATCTTTTGTACTGTTATGAAAGTCACTATTTTTAAACGAATACTGAAATTTAAAACTCATTAACAAAGTCTATGATTTAGAGGTTCAAACATTGTTTACAATAAAAACTAATTTGTTAAATTCTTGATTTTAAACACATGCACATAGAAATATTAATAATATCTTTAGACATAGGCAGTAGTTATTATGTCAGTAATAAAACAACGGGATTTAATTATTACTTGTCTTCAATTAATACTAAACATTAATTATTATTTTATATCTTCTTGAACTGTTTTGCATAATTGAGACTTTGCTTTAAAACGCCATCTGAAATAATTAAGTTATATTAAATTAATCTGTATGTTTACTTTGATGTATTTTAAGTAAAAACAATATAAATATGTTTATGCTTGTACGTAATAAGACTCTTTTGGTTTTATGAAGGAAACATGATAAATAATGAATAGGCAATTTTTAATCTAGAATATTTACATTAATTATGAGAAATGGTTGTGCTGTCATGATATTTTAATGGGTAATAAAATAATTACTTTTCTAAAAATCATTTTAAAATCCAACTATGAAAATTGAATAAATATATATCTTTGGATGTAATTATAATATGAAAATTATTCGCAGTATTTTAATCACGGAAATTTTTGTGAAATGACTTATATTAAAAAAAAATATTCTGCTAATCTTTAACATTATTTATTTTTATTTCAGACTTTTAGATTATGAATGATCCGATGAAAGTATTAATTTTACAATGATATGGGTTTTTTATTATGTGTGTGTTTATGTTTACACGATGTACGTATAGTAGAAAATTTTTTCGATTTTTCACATGAAGAATAGTTTCTGATTGTCAATTAGATCTAGCGGGTACGTACTTGAAAACTCAAGAATGAAAATGTCTTGTATTTTTGATAATAATCGTTAAAACATAAAAGAAACAGGAATTTTTACACGAAACCAGTTTTAACGAAATCGATTTTCTTCTTATGGTGTTATTCTGGAAATAAAATCGATGGATATATTGGAAATTCACCAAAAGCTTATAATATCATTATCCACACGTCGTATAATATTATGGAATAACTAGAAGTCGCTCTTCTTGAGTTTAACATGGACTCTCCTGAGTTATGGGGAGGGGGGTAGATTTGTAACACATGTTGGAAAATTGAAGCTGCCGGTAGAAAGGTAATTCACATTATTCAATTTGTTTGAATTTTTGTGAATATCGTTGACTGTGTTTCCGAACAGAGTCAATTTTCTGTTTTTCAAGCAATTTAAAGGTGATAAAAATTGGAATGATAACAAAAATGCATGTAAATGTTATCAATATCAGTGTAACTAGAAAAGAGCATTGTGTATTTTTGTTACATACATGGGTACATTGATTTTCCAAAACTTCAACAGATTTTTGAGTGCTTAGCGGTTATTTCCACCGGTAAAAAACCGGTTTACCTTCTGGTTGTTCTGTGTTACAATTGTCATACAATTTTTATTTCTTTTGAGAAATTTACAGACATTTGACATTTTAGATTTTTCTTAATTTTTCCCTATAAATATTGATTTTTTGTCTGTAAAAAGTTTGAAAATTCAATACATTGTTTGTAATTGTATAAAATAAATATCTACTCAAAGTACCTATATTGATAAACTGTGTGGAATGGGTGGGAAACCAGTAAAATGTTGGTCCCCACTACTCTACTAGTCCACTGTTCAAAATACTTATAACTGTAAAGGATTCGTTAAAAAAATGATCTTTAAAAATTCAAACTCTCAGTCAGATATTATGGTTTGGAGTATGGATTTAAAAATGAATATGTTAGCATTCAGAAAGATAAAAAAACAGTTAAAAAACGATAAGAGTACAGAGTAATAAGAAATTATACATATATGTATGTTTTTTTCTAAAACGTTGTTTTATTCAAACGTATTCAAATTCTGTGAAAAAAATATTACTAAAAATGAAAAAATGTTAACCACTTTATGAAAAACTAAGTGTTCACATAAAAGAACCCCATTGTTTATTTTACTCTCGAAGCTTAAAATATATTTTTATTATAAACAGACAGACATTTTTCAAGATTTTGTATATTGCAGGTGGGCACGGGCACCGGTATTATGACACATTATTTCAACTTGTTCGTGATTGTGCCTACGGCTGTGATATCGGGCAGCGATGAGTACCACACACCCGAAGGAAATTCAATAGTATTGTCTTGTAAAATTGAAAATGTGAGTATTGACTGATGTAAATAATACCTAAAAGCATGTGTTGATAATATATTATATTATTTAAATTGTTTTATGTTTGTCTTAAAATACAAGCTTAGTTGATAAGGGTTAACCACTGCTGATAAACAATAATATGGAAACTATATTAAGCACATTTTTTTTTTTAAGAAAAAAAGGTTAATTTGACTATGTTATTATTAATAACTACACGTGTTATGTATATCATTTAATTTTTACAAACCAGACTTCTGGCCAACTGTCCTGAAATATTATAATTTATATGAAATAGCTCGGATGCAACGCGTGTGATGACAAACATCGCTAAAATCCCAAGTGATCACGGTTAATAATTTGGACTGGACAAAATGTAATAAACATTAAAGACCGCATAGGGGGAGGGGGGCAACTAGCTAATGCTTTTGTCGTATATAGGTACCTATCTCGTACGGATAATATTAGTCTCACAACATTTTTACCTTAATATCATAATGGCAAAATTTGCCTTGGTGCTTACTTATAATGAATAGCTATACGGTTTTAATTAATTGCAGGTGGACGCCGGGGCGAGTAGGTTCTAAGCACTACAGTCTATATATATATATATATAAATACCTCTGCGCTCTAAATAAAATATCTTTTAACCTCTCATTTTGAGTCAAGAGCATCCACAAAAATAATACATGGGTCATCTAGAACGCCGTAGTGAAAATACGTTTTGTGGTATTATATTATATGGTATCCGTGGTAAAAAAAAAAAAAAATGAAGAGGAAAAGGTAGTACGAATAACGTGAACAAATAAAACCTACCTCGGAAAGCACAATATTATTTTCAATAGAAAAACATCGAAAGGATTTAAATACGAGATTGGAGGACTAATAAATCTTAACATAATTTCCAAATTATTATTAACATCCCAGAATATCAAATGCATGACATTAATTATTGATAGTGGGTACAAACTGTGATTTTCCATCAAAATAGAGTTAAATATATATGTTGAACTTGAGTGTAAAAACAACTCTTAGTTAAATTACCTAAGTTTTATTATTAGTAGGGAGCGAATTTACATCTAAATGTATATTTTTTTACTTCAAGGTATTTAAGATTTGTTAAGAAATGTTTACTATTTGAATTATTCTTACTTAAAATTACTTACTCCAATTTTACTTAGGAAATTTGTACATGTTTCATTAATTTGTAAATATTTTCAAATATATTTTATAGACCATATTTTCATATTTATGTCCATATTTTTATTACATATAAACCATTTCCTAATTATTAGTAACTTTAATTTTCAATTAAATACACACTCGTTTGTTAAGAGGTAAAATGAAAAACAATTATTACACGATAAAAATTACTATTATAATTAATTAACTATGCATTATCGCTACAATGTATAAAAATAATATTGTGTGATATCAAAGTGAGAATAGTTATGTTAAAAACCCCACTACATGTTTCATTACGTTAATATTACGATAATTGCCAATAAGTATGAATTAATAAAACTAGATTCACATTTTACTCACAATCACATACCTACACAAAGAATATATATATATAATATATTATTGTTTACAAGATTTAATAATATATTTAATTTAATTTTTGATATCTAATTTTGGAAATTCATACATTTATTAATAATTGTTATACCTATAGGCTATAATCAAAAAAAAAAATGTGAATTGTATAAATTGTTTTATTTTTTTACGCACATGTTGTGTTGTTTATTTTTAAAATTATGGCAACTATTCACTAGTCACCGCTCATGTAGAATTATATGTTATTCTTAAAAATACCTTTTATGGTTTAATAATATTTTCGTAGGATTATTATTCATACTATATGTATAGAACATTTTTCAGTTAAATAATATTGTTCAGTTCAACTATAATATTGCGAATTATTTACTTTGTCTGTTTTTATGATTAAAACTTTTAGTGTTTATTGAATTTTTTTTTTTTTATTCATCATATTATTATATTTTCTCAGTTATTTCCATTTAATTAATTTTTTTTCATTATTATTTTCATACTACAATAAATTAGTGAAAAAAATCAATACCATTAAAATATAAATATTGTATTTATTATTTATTCACTGGAAACTATATAAAAAAAAAGAATTCAATTTTTACTAACGTTAATTTATTAGTATAATAACCATCGTTTCTTTTAGAAGTAAAATAAATCACACGAAACATAGAATAGTATTAAAATTTTTAGTCACGGATATTATGGTGTATAAAAATGTCAGATAAAAATATGATTTCAGTTAAATCTCAAGGACTAAAATAAATCGTGATTGATCACAATCTTACATCATTATTATCTAAGTATAAATATATATTTTAAAATACTTTATTTTGCGGGATGGGCACTATTTATTATATAAAAAATAGCAATTTATTATTAAAAAATTATTAGTATATTGTTGGCATTATCACCGGAAATTGAATTTACTATCGAAATACCTGAAGCATGAAAAATATTATAAAAATGTATCGATTGTGTTAAGGGCTTTGATATAGGTACTCAAACATCCAAGTGTAATATTTAGGTACATAAATTTTTGATAAAACCAAAATTATATAATATGCAACCCAATTATTTTTCATTAAGTACCTATACATAATAATATACATTACAGGTACACACACTGTTATACGTACACGGCTTCACCTAATTCACATAGATAATTAGTTTAAAAAACCTCGACAATTTAATAAGACCAAACAACTAATCTATATTATTTTGGTATTAGATAATAAAATATTATCATGGTTAAGAATACATTACAATAGGTACTCAACTCTCAAGTACCTGTAGAGATTTCGTTCATACATTTTGAATTATATTAAATTTAAAAAATCAATATAGTATTTTCCAAATAATCGTACGTTATTTATGCATATGTTGTTTTTTTTTTTTGATAACATCTGCAAAAAAAACCATGTTTTCGTGTTTCTGCATGCTAACAAGTTTGTGAGATTTATTGAATTCGCTAAGCTTGTCAACCATTCCTTAAACACGAGACTGCTGAATTTTCGTACATCTAATAACTCATAGTGATGTACTGTAATAATAACAACAACAACAACAACACAACGCTATGTGATTTAAAATTTATTTATTTTCAATTAATTTTGATTTAGAGCCCGGTGCCGCCGCAATACGTGTTATGGTATCATAATGGCAAAGTTATATCATCCGGTCATTTTAATAAAAACGGACTGAAAACCGATCGCCTGTCTATCAGCACTGAACAGATAGATCGTAAAATTTACAGTCGCTTGACAATCACAAAAGCAATCCAGATTGATACAGGAAATTATACGTGTCAGCCTCCAAACACTGACCCGGACTCTACTTACATTCACATCACGCCAGGTTAGTTTAATTCAAATCAAATAAATATACCTAGTACTTTATCGAACGCAGGCAATTGATACAATTGAATAATTATAAATGTGTTTTCAAAATAGTAATGGTGTTTAGTAGGTATAGGTAGTGGCCAGTAGGCATTGACGAAATTGATTATTCCTTATCAATATCTGTGTAGGTTGATAAATAATTATTGTTGCATTATAATATAATAATATACTTCGTACTGTGGATATAAATTATTACCCAATATCTGTGAATGAATAATTTATCAACAGGTTTTTTTTTTTGAACAACACAACTACTGAAATAGATATTTATTGAGGGATGTACAGATTATTATTTTATTTATTTTCCTAGCAATGAGTTAATTTTAGATAATCAACCGAGTTTAATTTCAATGAGAATAAACTTATAAATATTTATTATAATAAGATATTACAATAAGAGCAGTTTAAAAGTTTTGATATTTTAAAATATAACTATTTTAATTACGTCTGAGTAGTAGTTTCAATATTATTTTTTTTTATTTCATTCAGATCACAGACTATATAGCTGATCCTGTGAGTGAAATCTTATAGGTTAATAAAATAATGTTAATGATATTAAAAACATTATTTATTTCGAAACTCTAGTAAATTTAATTTAATTAATAAACTTTACAATAATTTAAATATATGGTTTTCATTTCTTTAAATGTATTTTACAATGCACAATCCATAAATATAAGATTTACAATAAACAATATAATTATGTTATATTGTGATATGAATTGATTTTATACAAGAAAAGGTAACTACCAAATAGTAATTATACTTTATAGTTAGATTTGTCAGGTACGAATTAAAAAAATATAAAATAAGATGAATATAGAATTGTTTTTAATTTTATCTGAAGACCAGAATGATATAATTTGTCTAACGCTTGGGCTGCCAAGGAGGAAAGATAAACAATATTTATTTAACAGAAGGAGTTAATGAAAAGTTTTATGAAATTCATAAAATGGTGCAATGTTGAATGTCGTTTATAAGTTATGGGTCTGTTGAAATATATTTTGGTCATTTACGAAGGTGTGTAAATGCTTTATGACTAAATTTTCACTCAGTAAAAAGATAGGCCAGATTGTTTCATGAGATGATGGAAATCATGTGGTTTTCTTGATTTTGAGTTTTAAGATGATAACTGAGATACGGGAAGTAAGAAAGCCACGAGGCAAAATTTAATATGAGTGTAGGATGTATTAGTAATTTTTCAGTTTGTTGAAGAGCAGACATTAAATCTAAAGTGGATTACACACTAGGCGATTCGAACGCACGTTTACGTGCGTTTCGAACGTCGCGTTTATTGAAACGCGAACGCACACTCCTTACACATTAGATGCGTTTCGATGCGTTTTTCGGCGTTTTGAAATCGCGCCGCGCTTTCACACTAGACGATTTGGATGCGTTTCTCAAAAATAAAAAGCGCGGCAAATGTTATTTAAACCATTAAATTATTTGTAATTTGTTGTATACTA